TCAGAAATTATTCTTTGTTTACTTACTGGTTTCCCTGTGGGTGGAAGGTAGCCTTTGGGTTAACTTTGTCTAGTTAATTTATCTCCAGTGCCTAGAATGGGTCCTAGCACATAGACAGTAATGTTTAGTGAGTGTGGTTGAGCATTGTTGGAGAGTTGGGAGTGGTGGAAGGAAGGCAGAGGGTGGGGCTAGAGAGGTAGAGAGTATCTGGGTCACAAAGGCCTATATGACCTTGCTCAATACCCTAAGTCTGCAGGGGCTGGGTACCTTTAAAGGGATCTAAGTCAGGGACAATTGGGCAGATTGATGTTTTAAAAATGTTATGTAAGAAGCAGGATAGAACTAGATTGGGGGTGGGGAGTGCATGAGATGAGTGAGAGAATATTTCACAGATTTGTGCAAGAGCTCAAGTGAGAGATGAGGACTAACACTATGGGAATGGGAAGTTTGAATTCTAGAGATGTTTGGAAGGGGAAAAAGACAAGACTTGGTAACTGATTAGATTGGGGGATGAAGATTTTGGTTCCTAAATTGATTTGAAGTCAGATACTACAATTGGGGTCAAAGCAGAAAGGAATTTGGGTAGAGGATTAATGATGAGCCTGCCTGGTCATGCTGAGATGGCCCACCAGGCAGAAAGCTTCAGGCTGGTGTCTCAGATGGGGATGAGAACAGGTAGCAGTCAGACCACAAGTGAATTAAATTGCCTGGGCCAGGTGGGAAGGAAGTTATTGCAGATAGCAAAGGGAGAAGATGACTAAGAATGGAATACCAGCATTTAGGAGAGGGCAAAGCAAAGGAGATCCAGTGATATAGACAGAAAAAACAGATAATCAAACTTAGGGAAAACATGGTGGCATAGAAGTGTGTCAGATTTCTGAGAGACCACCCTCACTAGGAGGATTCACAGAGCACTCAAAAAAGCTGTTATGTTCAGAGTTCTGGTTTATTACAGTGAAAGGATACAGATAAAATCAGCACAGGAAAAAGGAATTAGTGTGGAGACCATGCACAGCCTTTAGTTGTCCTCTTCCAGTGGAGTTGTGCAGACAGCTCTTAATTTATTCCAGCAGTGATGTTTGCCCACATGTACAGATACTGCCAATCAGGGAAGCTCACCTGAGTCTTGGTGTGCAGGGTTTTTTATTGGGGGTCAGTCACATAGGCATGGAGTTCCCACATGACTGAACCTTAGTTACTCAGGCCCCAGCCCCTTCAGAGGTCCAGCTGATTACAGCATAGCCTCCTGGCTCCCACCATAAATCACACTGTTTGACATGGCCCAAGGCCCCAGGT